ACATCAACAAAATCTCTTTACTGGTTAATTGGAATCGCATCCAGTTCAGCGGCGGATCAAATCACCTCCAACAATTAATTTAGATTTAATTCTGTAATTATCAGCAAATCGAGTAATGTGCAAGTTAATTTAGATAGTTAAAAATTAACTTGCGTGAAGTTAATTGAGTAATTAAAACCCTCAACTGCCGCCTATTAATTTGCTAATTAAAAATAAATTTGATTTTGTGTAATTTAAAGTAATATTGACATCAGTGTTGGATGGGCGGTTTTATTAGTTTTATCTGGATGGGGAGTTGAGGCAGACACCTGCTATCCGAGGGGCCGGCCAGGCCCGACCCCCTCTGCCCGCCGGGCCGGGCTCGGTACCGCCGGGCGATGCTGGGGCTGGGCACCGCTCCCCGCAGCCCGGTGCCACCCCCTGGCACTGTCCCCGCCCAAGTTCCGTGCCCGGTGTGTTATTGGGGTGGCAGTTTAGGGGAGAGGGGCAGAGGAGCCCCTGCAGGTGCCCCGGGCTGTGGGATGGCTCACGGCGAGGGGAGGATGACTGAGGGAGGAGGGGAGAGAGCCCAGCCCACCTGCCCCGGGCTGAATCTGTCCCCTGCACTCTCCAGAGGCAGGGCCGGGCCCCTTCCAGCCCCATCGTGCAGGGACATCCCCTCAGCCCTCCTCAGAGCCAGTTCCTCCCCACAGCCGCTTTGTGTGCGACCCCGACCCGACTGGCTGGGGCTGCAGGCAAAGGGATGAGGGCAGAGCTGGGGGCAGCGGGCAGGGCCCTACAGGCATGGCTGGGGGCAGTGGGCAGGGCCCTACAGGCAGGGCCCTACAGGCAGGGCCGGGGGGATGCAGGCAGGGCCCTACAGGAAGGGCCGGGGGGATGCAGGAAGGGCCCTACAGGAAGGGCTGTACAGGCAGGGCCGGGGGGATGCAGGGAAAGCTCTGCAGGCAGGGCCAGGGGGGTGCAGGCAAAGGGCAGTGGGCAAAGCTCTGGGAGTGCAGGCAGAGCTGGGGGGCTGCAGGCAAAGCTCTGCAGGCAGGGCTCTGGGGGTGCAGACAGGGCTGGGGGGATGCAGGCAGGGGTCAGGGGATGCGGGCAGAGCCCTGGAGGTGCAGGGAGGGCCCACAGGCAGGGCTGGGGGGTGCAGGTAGAGCAGGGGAATGCAGGCAAAGCTCTGCAGGCAGAGCTCTGGGGGTGCAGGCTGGGCTGGGGGGATGCAGGCAGAGCCCTGGAAGTGCAAGTAGGGCCCTACAGACAGGGCTGGGAGGGGTGCAGGCAGAGCTCTGGGGCTGTGGACAAGGCTCTGGGGCTGCAGGCAGGGCTCTTTAGGTTCTATACGGGCAGGGCTCTGTGCAGGCAGGGCTCTTTGGGCTCTGTGCAGGCAGGGCTCTCTGGGCTCTGTGCAGGCAGGGCTCTTTGGGCTCTCTGGGCTGCAGGCAGGGCTCTCTCTTTAAGCTCTGTGCAGGCAGGGCTCTTTGGGCTCTCTGCAGGCTCTGCAGGCAGGGCTCTGTACAGGCAGGGCTCTTTGGGCTCTCTCTTTAGGCTCTGTACAGGCAGGGCTCTGTGCAGGCAGGGCTCTTCGGGCTCTCTGCAGGCTCTGCAGGCAGGGCTCTGTGCAGGCAGGGCTCTTTGGGCTCTCTGGGCTGCAGGCAGGGCTCTCTCTTTAAGCTCTGTGCAGGCAGGGCTCTTTGGGCTCTGTACAGGCAGGGCTCTTTGGGCTCTCTGCAGGCTCTGCAGGCAGGGCTCTGTGCAGGCAGGGCTCTTTGGGCTCTCTCTTTAAGCTCTGTACAGGCAGGGCTCTTTGGGCTCTCTCTTTAGGCTCTGCGCAGGCAGGGCTCTTCGGGCTCTCTGCAGGCTCTGCGCAGGCAGGGCTCTTCGGGCTCTCTGCAGGCTCTGCAGGCAGGGCTCCTGGCAGGCTCATTCTGCCGAGCCGCTCGGAGCCTCTCCCGCAGCAATGGCTGTAAAAGCCAGTAGGAAGCTGTAAGATAAAACACCCAGATTGTGATAAAAGGGGAAACAAGGCGAGGCGAGCTGGCGTCCTGAATGCGAGTCTTGTACGTCTTATTATCAAGTTAATTAAAGCTAGCATCTGACAATGTCACTCGGCTGTAGAAAAAGGGATTTAAATGCAGCGTCTCCCAGGACTGCGTGTCAAGGGCTGCTTTTCATTGAGCTGGTGCGAGTGTTTGGCTGGAGGAACAGCTCTCCGGATTGAAGGGGGTGCCTTTAAAGAAGCAGCAATTGACAAGGAAGCAATTATTAAATTTTGATGTTCAAAAATAAGGAAAAAAAAAAAAAAGAAAGACGACGAAGAAGAAAACGGCTTCTATAATTTGTGTTTTAGATGGAGAGCAATATAAAGAGATATCAAGGCCGAGAGCCATCAAAAGCCTTTCCCCCTCCCCGCATGAAAGCTCCTCTCAAACACTTTAAGAGAGATTTTTAGAAGCTCGACAAGGATCCTAGAAACATTAAAACAGAAGTCGATTTTAAATGTGCACATTGAAATGCACAGAGCCGCTTACTACGTGGACTTGCACTTGAGGTCAAGTGACGGACGGATTGTATGCTTCTCCATAATAATATTAATTAAACAATTTGCATGCTAATAAGGTAACAATTATCAGGGCTTCTGTTGAAAGATTCAGGTTATTACAACACGCCAATCTGGAGGCCAGGGGTCAGGGAGTGAGAGGCGAGAGAAATTTCAACTCAAATTAACATTCTGTCAGCTCCAGAAAATGGGATAAATAAAGTCGAATTAATTCATTATAATAAAGAGAGGGAGAGAGAGAAAAGTCCCCCCTCTCTTGTTCTGTGCTGGATTGATTACCATTCTGTATTCAGAAACACGTCCCGCTCGCATTCCTCTCCTGAAATCCGACAGAAAATGAGGCATTTATTGCTACAGGCAAAATTTGGTCCAGTGGACACAGTTTACATTTAGTATTTATAGAGAAAGAAATTAAATTATGGTGAAAAGTGAAGCCCTTGACCCCAGAATTAATACCAACCCCATCATTTTCTTATTTCTGTTAGGGCTGTGTAGTCCAAATTCAAACTACCTTTTAGCTCTAAGCAGAGGCAGGGAGACCATAATTAAACTAATCTATAGGGGGGAGGGAGGGAACAGCAATAATACAGCAGTATATTGTATGGCATTCAATTAGGTGAATAAATACAGCTCCGGACAGACAGCATAGATTAGAGACTCGACTTCCTTTTTATTTCAATTTTAACTTCCCCCTCTCTCATACCCACACAAACCAGCGCTAGGAAATGGATCATCTTGACTGGATATTTTATAACTGGAAAATCTATGTGTATGTTTTCCAGAGATAAAGTGTCTCTCCCTCTTTCCCCTTCCCTTCTCTCTCCTTTTTCCTTCCTACTTATTTTTATTTCTTTCCCTTTCTCACCCCACCGCGCCCGCCCCCCGACTCCAAGCATTTCATTCCGCACGAACCTCCCAGGAAGATTTGAAGAGTTTCCCCTGTCTGATTGCCCGGCCCGGCCCTTTTCCCTCTGCTCTTTGTTAAACGCAAACGCTGCTTCTCCCCTCGCTCCCCTTCCCACCCTCCCAGGGGCCGGGGGAGCCCTCCCGGGGGTCGCCAGGTTGGGTCCCCCCGGTCCTGGGGAGCGCCAGCTCCGCTCCTGCGGGCTCGGGATGGCAGCGGCTGGGAAGTTCCCCCTCTCCCTCTCTCCTGAGAGCTCGGGAAGTGTTCCTCTAACCGGGAGAGGGCACGAAACTGGGGGTCCCCAGCCCCGCGCTTTGCCGGGGACCCGTCCCCTTAAATTGTTCACCGGGGGGATCTAGCAATGTTTTATCCGGGTGAAAACTTCTATGCAGACGTAATTGAATTAGTAATTTAACAGTTTGGCGGCTGTTTGGGGGCTGTGGGTGACTGGCGGGATGAAAAGTGGGGTCTGCTCCAGGGGAAGGTGAAATGGGAGGGATGTAGGGATGGGAACTTTGTTCGGGTTTGATTTTTAAAAATTATGAGTAGTACGAGTTTTTGGCCTCCTCTTTAGCGATCAGAGGCTGCTTCTGGTCGTGGCTGCGCTCACAATTCAAAGGTTGTGGTTACTGCTGGAGTGGGGGGGTGTCCGTGGCCGAATCGATAGGAGATTGCATTAATTATGATTTCGATTGATATGCTCAAATCTCCTCCTAAACGCTGTAAACGGTTCTTCCTTTTTCATTTTTTTTCTCCTTCCTTTCCTTTCCCCCCTATTTTTCCCCTCTGCCCCCCTCCCCTCTCCCCTGTTATGGAGCCGGAGAGGAGATGAAAAGGCTTGTAGTTTTAAATTCAATGTGACAGCTCTGGAAAGAGCGGATGATGAATCTCCTATTATTGGATCAGTCTATTTGCCGCTCAATGTCTCTCTGTAATTGGAGCAACATCACTTTAAAGGTTCAGAGAGTAGAGCATTTCTGGTGAAAAATCCCCACAACACGCTGGTGAATGTTTTAAAGGGAAATCTATTAGTGATTTGGCAAGGGGAGGGGACAAGGGGGAAGAGGGTGGGTTGGAGGGGTGTGGGGGGGGAGGCCGTGTGTGTGTAACTCCGACTGTTTGGTATTTAACCGGGTATCAGGCAGATCCTCGCGTTCCCCTCCGCCCCCCCTGCCCGCCCGGCCCCCGCCGCCCTCCTCGGGCTGGAGTTCGTATCAAAGCCCCCCTCGTCGTGTTGTGACAGCTCTGATATTGTTTATTGAGGCTGGATGTCAGGTATAATTAGCAATCGATATGGAAAACGTTTGCTCCCCACACTGGCACGTCTCTGACGTCAGGACCGATTAACGTTTCTTATTGGTCCCAAATTCCCCCAGCCTGAGCTAATTATTGGGAGCCTGATGTTGATAAAGTTAAAGCGCCCGGCGCCCTGCAGCATGAGCCCCTCGCCGCGCCGCCTCCTCCGCCAGCAGCACCCCCGGCCCCAGCCGCCCCGCCGCCAGCGCCCCCAGCCCCGCCGGCACCCCCCGCCCTAGAGCCGCCCCCATGATGGACAGCCGCATCCTGGAGCATCCTCATGCCCAGTTCGGGGGGATGGTGGGCTTCCCTTACCCGCTCGGCCACCACCACGTCTACGAGCTGGCCGGCCACCAGCTGCAGTCGGCGGCCGCCTCCGTGCCCTTCTCCATCGATGGATTACTGAGCGGCTCCTGCGCCGCCTCTGTGGTCAACCCGGCGCCGCTGATCCCCTCCGGCTGCGGGGTGAGCGGGGACAGCCAGCCCTTCAAGCTCGCAGGTAGGAGCGGCCCCGTGTCGCGGGTGTCCCCCCGCCCCCGCGCCCCGCCACCGACCGCCGCTCCCCGCCCGGAGCTGTCAGCGCGGAGGAGCAGCAGCACCGCACCCGCGCAGCCCCGCTGTCCTCGCCTGCGGGTTTTGGGGTGTCTGGGGGGGCAGGGTGGGAGGCTGTGCTGGCCCCCCGAGGGGACGGACGGCCCCGTCCGAGCGCCGGGAGCGCTCCCCGCTCCCAGCGGCGCAGGGCCACGCGTGTGCCCTGAACAATAGCGGGCCCGGCCCGGTGCCTTCCCCCAAAGTTCATCGTGTGGCAGCTCGGATCGTACCATTAAAAGATGATAATAATAAAAATAGTAATGGTAGTCACTGGGGTTTGCGGAATGAAGAGCGGTAATAATTATTTTTTAATACGATTTAACCAAAGGGAAGCGTTCTCCTTCCCTCGCCACCGGCCTGTGGCACCGCTATTGTTCAGCTACTAAAACATTCTGTTGCCCCAACATGCTTCTGGTTAAGCCTGGAGCTGCCCCACACTGCACCTCAACTAAACACAAATTATTATAATTATTACTATTATTATGATTTTTTTTTCCTTAATTTCCACACCTGGCGGAAAACGTTAGGGGAGGTGCAGCCGGGGCTGAAAATCCCCAGCCTGGAGCTGTAGGTACTCGGAGAGGCTGCGAACATCCCAGCCCCACGCCCGCCCGTGCTCGGGGGGACTGCGGGAGGCCCAGGGGCCGCCCCGCACCCGGGGTCCCGCGTGGAACGGGGCCGTGAGCTGTGCCCCACTCAGGTGCTCCGGAGGGGCTGGGGAAGGGAAAGAGGGGGGGGCTTTTATTTTTATTTTTTTTTAATTTTTCGTTTTTTAATGAAGCCTTTGGTGGTTGGAGCAAATATTGGAACTTCTCTCTCTCTCTCTGCCAGCTGAGTGCCTGTGGAGAGCTTCCTTCAGGAATAAATGTTCTGTAAAGTACATTTTCGGAGGAGGCGAGGGCAGATCGGGTTCCTCCCCATTTTTAGCGCAGGTGTGTGAATAATCCCGCTCTTTTACCAACGCTACCGAGCACAAAAGTTAAAAGGCTCCTGTGAATGGCAGGGAGGGGGGGAGAAGGCCTGTCTCCCAGGGACCTGAGGTATTTCTGCTTTTTCAGACTCGGGTGACCCGGACAAGGAAAGTCCTGGCTGTAAAAGAAGACGAACCCGCACCAATTTTACTGGCTGGCAGCTCGAGGAGCTGGAAAAGGCGTTCAATGAGAGCCATTACCCGGACGTGTTTATGCGAGAGGCTCTGGCTCTCAGGCTAGACTTGGTGGAGTCCAGAGTGCAGGTAAAAAACGTGTCCCCCCTCCTTTCCCCCCCTGCCCTCTCCTTGCGCCGAGCAGTCCCCGGGGAGGCCCCTCGGACCCCGCTCCGGGACGGGCCCTGTGCGCTTGGGCCGCAGCCTCCCGGCCCTTTTGTTCCCTGCCTTGCACTGCCGCTTGCTGTCTTATTTATCGTTATTATTATTATTACTACCCCATTTTTTAAAAATCTTACAAAACGAGAAGAGTAGCAACCCAGCCTGGCTTCCCTTAACATTTTTTAGTATGTTTTTCCACTGTAAACATTTTTCTTAAATGAGTCAAGGGCGAGAAAATTAGCATGCAAATATGAGGCTTAATCACGGGCCAGGGTATGCTGGAGAATGTCAATAAAGCTCGTAGATGCATCGAGAGCAAGTGAAACTTGTAAAACTTAATTTTAACGAGCTGCTCAGGCCCTTGGCGGTGCGGGACGGGGAGGGGAAGCACCCATCTGCTTCAGTGGGTCTTCCAAAAAATAAATGGATGGGGGGCTGCAGGGTGGCTGTTGGATCTCGGGATGCTGTTCAGTGCCGCGGTGGCTGCGAGCAGGCGGCGAGGCCGAGCTGCGGCCCCGCATCTCGCCGGAACCCGCGGCCGTGCGGGGGCGGCTTGGCGTGGGCTGCGTGTGCGGAGAACTCGTCCTTAAATCCACCCCGGGAGCCGGGGACGGGCCCCTCGGGATGAGGCAGCGCCGTTGCCCGCGGTTCCTCCCTGGGCTTTGCTTCACCGTGTCCTTGCAGCCGCTTTCCCCCCCGCTCCCGGAGCCTCCTCTCGCCGTGCTCGGGGAGCCTGCGGGGCCCGGCCGGGGAAGGAGCCGGCATCGGGCACCGCGATTGGCGCCGTGCCCCCGAGCTGGGGTCGTGCTCCGGCCGGGACAGGCGCTGCCAGCAGCCCCGAGGGGGCGAGGAGGGACGCGAGGGGACACCGGGGACCTGCCAAGGCAGGCAGGAGCAGGGCCGGAGCTGAGAGGTTTTAATTTAATTTAAATTCTCTCCCATGATATATCTATAACAAGCCCAACCAAACCCCATTTTGGGCTGGTCCAACTCCTCTGCTCGGGCTCCCGGGAGGAGCAGGAGGTCCGAACTCCGCGCGTCTGGGCGAGGCACCGTCCGTCGTGTGCCCCCCGCACCCCTCACTTCCAGCCGCTCATTGTGCGCTGTTTATCGCATTTTGCGTGCTGCTGCCGGGGAATCGGGCCAGCGATCGGTGCTTCTGCACCCCTCGGCCACGGGGAAGAGCTGGGGGGCTGTGGAATCCCTTCCCCTCCCCGAGACGCCGGTTCGGGCAGGGTGCAGCGTGTGTGTGCGTGAGTGTGCACCCCCTTCTTGCTTTTTGTTTTGTCCCCTGCGCTTTTAAAGAAGTGTGGATATCTTTTCCTGCCCCTTCCCCTGCTCTCCGTTTCTCAGAGGCCCCGGTCCTGGAAGGGGGCTGCCGGCACCTCCAAGGGGTGGACGAGGGAGGCCTGAGCTGCGCTTCTCCCCTCCGCCCTGGCCACCGCGGGGGGCCGGTGCGCTGGGTGTTAATTGCTTCTCGTTGTTCGGTGTGTAGGTCTGGTTCCAAAACCGCCGGGCCAAATGGAGAAAGAAAGAGAACACGAAGAAGGGCCCGGGGCGGCCGGCTCACAACTCCCACCCCACGACGTGCAGCGGGGAGCCCATGGACCCCGAGGAGATCGCCCGGAAGGAGCTGGAGAAGATGGAGAAGAAGAAGAGAAAGCACGAGAAGAAGCTGCTCAAAAGCCAAAGCCGCCACCCGCACTCTCCCAGCGCCCTCTCCCTCCACAGCACGCCCAGCTCCGACAGCGACAGCGGCGGCGGGGGAGGCCTCTCGCCCGCCCCGCCTGAGGCCAAGCCCCGCGGGCAGCCCCCGCCGCCCCATCCGCCGCTCCCCGCCGCCGCCGCCCCCTCCGAGCCGCCCCCCGGCACCTGCGACCAGACGGCCGAGCCCTTCTACCCCAGCCAAAGAAGCGGGAGCGGGCGGCTCCAGCGCCCTCCCGACAAGGACTGCGCGGCCGCCCCGTCGGGGGACGGCAGCGGGGGCGCGGGGGGGCCCCGCGGCGCCGGCAGCTTCCACAAGCTCAACCCGTTCAGCGTGGAGAGCCTGCTCTCTGACTCGCCGCCCCGCCGCAAGGCCGCCCCGGACTTCCCCAGCCTGCCCCCCTGCGCCCCCCGCACCCTCATCGGCAAAGGACACTTCTTGCTCTACCCCATCACCCAGCCCCTGGGCTTCCTCGTCCCGCAGACCGCCCTCAAGGCCAGCCCGGGCCCCGAGGCCGGCCAGCCCCCCCGGGACTCCCCGCTGCCCGCCGCCAACCCCGGCCCGCCCGGCTGCGGCGCGGAGCCGGCGCCCGCGGGTGCCCAGCCCGGCCCCGGCCCCACGGACACGGCGGGCTCGGTGCCCCCCGCGCCGGCCGCAGCCTCGCACGGGGACCCGGCGGCCGCCGCCTCCGCCGAGGGCGGCAGCTTCCCCCGGCCCGAGTCGCCGGTCCGGGCGCGGGACGCCAGCACAGCCAGGGACAGATCGGACTGCGGCCCCGCCGACGGCGAGGAGGTGGACATGGACTGACCGGGCGGCCGAAACAAAACAAAACAACAACAACAAAAAAAATCGAAACAAAAGTAAAATAGAACAAAAAAAAAAAAAAAGAGCAAAAATAAAAGCAGCCGAGAACGTCAGCGGCACCCCCAGCGCCCGTCACCCGTGAGGAACGGGGGAAGCGCTGCCCCGCTCACCCCACGCACGCCGCGCCCGCTGCCCACGGGAGGCGTTGGCACAGCCGAGAGAGCGGCTCTTCGTCTCCCTAGAGTTTATCACAGGTCGATTCAGGTGATCAGTTAGAGCTTTTTGGGTTTTATATTTAAAGGATTAA